TAATCTAGATATTATTTTCTTACTCTTTTAGTAGTTTTCCTGGAGATGACAACTAGAACTTTTTACTTATATTTGAATAAAAACTATTACTTATACATTTCATAGCCTCTTCTACCATTTTTGCTATTGTTGTCATGAAGTTTGATTGCACGTGTGTTTTGCAATCTATGAAACATTATTATTGATTTATAGTCAACATTAATTTGTATTTATCTAAATATTTATTCTTCCCCTGACGCTACATTTCTAGTTTCATTGCTATGTTCTAAATAGGAATATTTTTCTTCAACTTGAGGAGCTCTCAGTAGGTGTTCAGGACTAGTGACAATGAATTATCTCAAATTATATGTGAAAATGTCCTATTTTTCTTTTATTTAAAAAAATCATTTTCTTTGTTTATAAATTCTAGAATTATTTATTTCTGAAACTTTTAATATATCATTTCATTTGCTCATGGTTTTAATTGTTTCTTTTAGAAAGTCATCTGTAAGTCTATCATGACTTACTTACACCTTTCAGATGTTGATATTGTCCTTCTAAGAGGGTTTATCTTGTTCTCTGCTAGGAAGAGGGTGAAAAACCATTTCCAGTTCCATGGGGAGCTGAGCTTAGCCAAAACTAGATTTCAATTTTTGAAATGCTCAGTTGGCATCTGGTTCATCCTTGTTTCTAGTATACAGTCCTCCAGGGGACCCAGTATATCTTTCAAGACCTCAACTTCTGGTATGACCTGAATACAGTCCCTGTTTTCTAAGCACCAAAGGGCTAGGAAAGACTCTGCTGTGTTTTTCAGAGATTTAGAGAAGTTTTTAAGCCTCCAACACTATGAAGTTTTAGAACCCAACACATTTCTAAAGAAAGAAACCATTTATATGGGTACGGATTCACAAACTTTCTCTGTTGGGGGAGAGGTGGGGGGAGAGATCAGCTCATTATCACAGGAATAACCGAAGCTGTTTTCTCTATCCCCAGCAGACTTCTCTTTCCCTCAATATATTCCTTTTTAGAAATGAAGTCTGAATTCTCAATCTCTTGTCTACACCTCAAATAAGCAAAAGGCTTCAAGGAAAAAGCAGTTGCAAATTCTCATCTCATTTCTGACAACTTCCCTCACTGGAATATAATATCCCTAACACCTGTGGCTTTATCAGCTCTCTTATAACTTTACATAGGTAACTTTGGTATTTTACTCAGTTTTTACAGTTATTCTTGGTGATATTGTTCATCTAAAGGAAACTGCTTTAGCCCACCTTGAGGTTTCTTAATCTTATAATTTTGCTTACCAACTTCTGAGAGAGCCAGGTAAGAAGGGGTCCCTGGAGAACACCTAACTGGCTTGCACACTGGAAGAATGGGATGGAGCCTCAGGAATTTTGCACAGTTGGCAGAGGGGAGGAGCCTGGCCTCTCCTGTTCCTGGGTGGTAACTGGGATCATGGGTGAGGTTGAGCACCTGTTAGGAGGACTCCATCTCACTTTGCTGAATTGTATTTCCTTTTCGCCCAATAAATTTCACTCCTCATCCTTCTTTGTGGACTCGAACCTAATCTTTTCTGAGCGTGTGACAAGAACTTAGTTTTTTCCTACAACACTACTACACAAAACTTTCAAGTTTTTATTGGTAGTCCTCAATATACTTTAGACATTTTGATAGCTTTGCTTATTTCTTAACTCGTTTCTCAAATACTTGATGGACTATTACATAACGAGCTGTGTTAGACAAAATACACCTATATTTTCAGTACACAAGCTAATCATGTTCAAAATGAAGCTTATCGGGTTTTTTTCAACAAAACCACTTAAATTCTCCATTTTTATCAATATCACAACTTTTCTCTTAAATATCAAAACCTAACTTATCAACTTTTACTCCTAACTCTTCCTCAAGATTCTAGCCTCTGTCCATCCGTTCATGCAGCCACAAAGTACTATGAATTAATACTTTACAATGTCTCTTAAATCCATTTCCTTTCTTTCAGATATTATTCTACCTGCTTCTAACTTAGATCGAGTTCTTATTCTCTGTCTCTCCTGGATGAATCTCTACCTCTCACCAGTTTTTCTTCCTTCTTTTTATACTGTAAGATAACACAAATATGACCATATAATTTGCTGAATAAGCACTGCATAGTGAATAGGATTTCAGAGAATGAAATTTAAACTCATTACGTTGGTTAGTACAAGATTCCTCTACTTTCTAGCAAGCTTTTCTTTTTAGTTTTATCATTCTTCTTCTTCCTCTGTAAGTTTACATTCCTAATATCCTATTACCCTGAACCTCAAGCTGATCAGCTCAAGGTTCCTGTATTCTCTCTTATACTTTCATGCCTTCAATCCCTTAGTCTTGCTATTCTCTTTACCAAAGTCCTCTTCAACTCTTCACATACTATATATTCATTAGTAAGGCAGACCAACGTTCTTTCTTCTTTAATCATTCACTGATTTTTACCCAGTGTCCTTTGATCATTTACTTCTCAGGTCATCCATAACATTTTATTTACATTTACTCAAAGATCATCTCTAGTCTGGACCTTGAAACAACCCAGAATTTTGCATTAAAAACATGCTTTTTCTATTTAGAAAATAAAAAGCTTGTGCAAGTAATTATTCAGCTCCCTTTTCAGCGTGGTACTTAGCTTCTCACATGTGATTCAGATGAAAATCATCACCTCACTCTCCAAGTAGCAACCTAGATTAATTACAGTTTCATTTTAATAACCATTGAGTTGGATCTGAACTTCTTAGATCCAATTTGTTTCAACACAAGAAAGCTAGGCAGTGTCCTCGACCCTTTTCTAATATGGCTTCTGCTAAAATCTCAGTCTATTATGCCCTTTGTGAAGCCATTTGGGGCTTCTCTTTTTTCTTTAGCACTCCTGCAAAATTTCCTAATTGACTACAACCACACCAAACACTCATATATTTCTCCTCCCACCCATCTATGGACATTTAAAATGAGGCTCCTTTATCTGCGTTGGTTTATTTTATCTCATTATTTTCCTTCATTCATGAAGACGTCTTTTATTTAGCTCATTATTTCTTCCCTGAAACTATTTCCAGGCCTCCCCATTTGGCCACTATTTTGATATTTCTTATAAGAATCACATTTATAATATAAATATCATTTAAGTATTTCCAAAACCCATAACTTTCATATAGACATTGTATCTACTACAAAAGGAGGTATGAATATTAAAATAGGGTCATGAATAGAGGAAGATAACATTTACACATCAAATTTTTAGCATAGATACTAGAGTTCAGAAAAAGATATCTTCTAATTAATACTTATTCAAAATAATAAGGTTATTAGTAACTTTAACTTGACTTTGAAAGAGTATTTATCTTTTAGAGAATGATTACTGTGTAATTACCTGCTTCTATTAGTCCTTTGAATATAGATTTAGTTTTTAGAAACATGCAAGTAAAATTGGAAGAGAGTATGAAGATTAAGGCAAGTTTAATTTCTATATATTTTCATAGGTACATATATGAGCTTAGTATACTCTACAGAATCCTTACTAAATGTCAGGAACTGTACCAGGCAAGATGAAAATAATATCAACCTTGTCTTCCAGCTGCTCCCTATATATTTGAAGAAAAACCTACATAAATCATGTGTGTGCAAAGACCGAGATACAGATGAATTTGGAAACGTGTAAAGCAACCACCGAACAGCCTGTAGGGATAGCACCTGAGGGCCCCAGAATGGGGTCTTAGACAAAGAGTTAGCCTAAGCCAAGTTAAAAATCTATTTATTTATAATTATACATAGATATTTATTCTAAGGATTCTGTTCCATGTGATTTGGGGAGGTAAGGAGTCCTAACAGGTAGCAGTTGACAGCTGGAGACCCAGGAGAGGTAATGGTATAATTCCTGTCTGAGTCCAGAGTCCAGATTCCTGGGAAGCAGGAGAGCTGAGGGTATAAGTTCCAGTCTGTGTCAAAGGCCAAAGCCAAGAGAAGACTGATACCCCAGCTCAAAGGCAAATGAAAAGAGAGAAAACTCTGCCTTACTCAGACTTTTTTCTATTCAGGTTTTCAATAGATTGGATGAGGATCACCTACACTCGGGAGGGCCCTCTGCTCTACTCTGTCTACTGATGCAAATGTTAATCTCATCCAGAAACACCCTCATAGACACACACAGAAAAATGCTTAATGAAATATCTGGGCACCCCATGGACCAGTTAAGTTGACACATAAAATTAACCATCACATCTATGTTTTTCAAAGGTCTCATTTCTATCAACAATTTATGAACTACTTAGAGAGTAAGTCAATATAAACTGCTATTTACAGAAAATATAAAATGTGGCTGACTTTTGCTATGCTAGCCAGCAATAAGAATTTACAACAAAGTCTGTATTCACAATATATGCTCTAAAAGTAAAAGTACAGAAAAATAATCTCTCAAAAACTTAAAACAAGTTAAGCATTTCTTCAGGGGAATAAAGGGTAATAAAGCATTCTCCATTCAACCAAAAATAAACAAACAAAAAAAACATTAACCAGTGAAAAAGAGCTGTAGGTGAATTTTTACCTATACATTGTTTTAACCTGTTATTTTAGATCACATTTTATAAGCTTCTGAATATCAGTTATTTTGATAAATTTCTAGTAGCAAGGTCAAATACTGTGAAAATTGTATCAACTGTTTCTAATTGTGATGGCAATAAATAAAATTTATTTTACATGTACAGTACTGAACATGTTTTAGGGTAATCAGAAAATGAATAATATGCTTTAAAATTATCAATTTTATGAAAAATTATTCATATGTCCCAAGAAAATTTTATTTCCTCTGAGAAAGAAAAACTTTACCAACCATCAATTGCAATCTAATTGTGTCATGTTGAGACGCTTCAATGAATATGCTATTGAGAAGAGCTGTTTCTTCAGAACAATAGACACTAAGTCAAATAGTGATGAGCCTCAATTATTTGTTAATTTCCATGCTAGATGCAATGGGGAAGTTTTGTTTTATTTTTTTAATTCAGTCTCCGTAGAGACTGTCAAGAATTGCTAATGCTTACTGTATTGCAAGTCGTCACAGCAGGGTATTGGGAAAAGTTTTCAATTAGCAATAATCATGCCTCAGATAAACCTCATTGGCTACGAAGCTGACACTGTGCAAAGCTGCAATGGGGAAGTTTTATAAGTGTAAGACACTTCTTTTCTTCAAGAAATTTTATTGTAATTAGTAACATAACATTATAAACAAAAATTAATATGAGGATTTAAATACAAATTTGCTTAACAAAAAGTGAGGTGTAAAATATAAAGGCAAGGATAGATGGTTAAAAAAATTCTACAAATAACCACAGCTAAATCACTTCCTGATAAGTGGTCAGGGAGAGTAGCTTTTGTAAGTTTAAAAGGGGAAGTGGTTCTTGAATAAATAAACAAGGGCAGCTTAGTAACAACTGAATGGAGTGTAGATAAATATAATGTGCTGGGAAGGCTCCAGGTATCTCTGAACTCTGGGGAACAAGCAAGTGTAGTTGAAGCAGCAGATATTTAGGAATGTTGGAACACAGGAGGAAGTTTTTTAAAACCAGACTGAGAATGTCATTAATGTTACTAACAATTTATCAGTGATAATGTAGCATCATATTCAGAATATTCTGTCTCTTGCTGATTCAAACACAGACCTAGTAAATTGGTAAGTGAGAAAGAAAGTGGACTAGACCATGGATCTGCAAATTCTAACCCATGACCAAATCCAGCCTGGGTTTCATAAATAAAGTTTTATTGGAACCCAGCCAAACTTATTTGCTTACAAATTGTTTTGGCTGCTTTTGTGCTATAATGGGAGAGTCGAGTAATTGCTATAGAGATGCTATGGGCCAGAAAGCCTAAAATGATTAATTTCTGGACCTTTAAAGAAAAGTATCCCAGGCTGGGTGCCATGGGTCACATCTGTAATCCCAGAACTTTGGGAGGCAGAGGCAGGCAGATCACAAGGTTAGAAGTTTGAGACCAGCCTGACCAACACAGTGAAACCCATCTCTACTAAAAATACAAAAATCAGCCGGGCATGGTGGCACACACCTGTAATCCCAGCTACTCAGGAGGCCGAGGCAGGAGAATTGCTTGAACCTGGGAGGCAGAGGTTGTAATGAGCTGAGATCGGCCACTGCAGTCCAGCCTGGGCAACGGAGTGAGACTCTGCCTCAAAAGAATTTAAAAAAAAAAGAAAGAAAAGTATCCCAAAGCCTGACTAAAAAGAAAAAAAAAGCCAGTGTAGATATTGATTGTTGAATAGGTGGATGGATGTAAACATGAACACAGAGAAGATACTATGTGGTGACATGTTATGGTATTGCTTAAATGCATAGGTAATGGAAGGAAGTTCTGAATGTGAGTTCACTAAAACTGAGGCTTTTTAGATAAGAGCTTAACACAATAAAATAAGATTATGTATCCTTAAGCATTGCCCCACACAGTCCTGAATCCTTGGGAAAAAAATATATTTAAAAAAAGAAACACACACAATTTTTTCCTTGGAGGAACTTTCAAATAAGCACATCTTGATTTAATTAAAGAGAACGTATATAATAAAATATAATAAAATTTTAATACAAACCCTAAGTGCTGTTGAACTTTTGAAAAAGTATGTCATTAGGACTTAGGTCATCGAAGAAAACAAAAACTAGGAAGCCAGAAAAACCAATTGCTTGAAAATGTTTTAGCCTTCGGTCCAACATGGATATCATGTGCTATGCAACCTAAACTGCATGCTTGGATCTGTTAGTATAATGTGAACTGCTTTTAAGTAGAGTAGCAAAGACTAAATAACTTTTGAGAAAACTGCTCCAGGTGGGATATTTTGTTTCTTAAGTTTATATAATCAACATTTTTTAGTATTTTATGGGTCCACAGGGGAAGAAGTCTTCTAGATACAGTAGTTTGCCAGTCTACATTGTTTAGTGCTTTATTTAATGCTTCTTTTAATAAGTCCAGTTTCTTCCTGTTCTGGTTTTTGAGTAATCATTAGGAGTAACAGGTAAAGTTATGAACTTTATTCAGAACTTCCCATAAATTTTCAACTCTATTCTATTTTCTTAAATTAAATTTTCCCTACTGCCTCTATCTTGTGGTTAGTTACTAAAGGGGCATTTGCAAATGCAGTTTTTACAATTATAGAATGCATTTTACAGAACTCTGTAAAGATTACTTCATAATGATGATACAATTAGGTTTAGTTCCAAGGGTGTGCTATGAATAGCCTTGGCTTGCCGTACAGTACATTGCTGAATCCTCATCTTAAAATGGCTTTTCACAAGGCAGACTGAGCAGTGCCATTGTGTTCATTTGCATATGTCACTGTGTCCATTTGCTTGAACATAACCACAACATTGGCAAAACCAATGAATGAAATAAGGAGAGTGAGAACTTGTTGATAGGTGTTGATTAATCAGTTATTATTGTTATTATTCAAATATTTAATCCTATACTGGAGCCTCACCTCACACTGTATACCATGTATTTAAGAATCAAAACTAAAAATATAATGTATCTCTTAGTGATATATTTTTATGATTGCAAAAGTAATGCATACTCATAGAATTTGAAGTTTTTACATCTGTAAGGAAAAATGCTAGAATACCACCACCCATAATATTAATATTCATAAATACTATTGACATTAATGTGAATTTTCTTATGCTATTTTCATTTTAAAATATTTAATTTTAAAGCTAGATTTGGAAATATATACACACAGAGATAAAAACATTTTATCTTATTTTATAAAATTGAAATTACACCGTGCGTCTAATTTTTCCTTAAGTTTTTACTTAGCTTGAAATATTTTTGGTAATGTAATTTTCAATGATTCCCTAAAGCTTTGCAATTTAGGACATTCAACTTCCCCAAAGTACACATTATATAAAAATTCTGAATTTTCTGCACCACCAATCTAATGTGTTCATCTGTTTTGCTTTCTTATGTACCAGCTTTGCTGAGATATAATTCACATACCAAAAAAATTTGTATCCTCTTAAAGTATGCAATTCACTGATTATTAGTACATTCACAGAGTTGTGCAATAACTACTATCTAATTTCAGGACATTTTAATCACCTCCCAGAAAGTCTATTCCTCATTAGCCATCACTCCTCATCACTCTCACCCCAGAACCTGGCAATACCAATCTAGTTTCTCTTTCTATGAATTTAACCTCATCAATAAGGCTCCTGTGTAAGAAGAGGAATGACAGCTGAACAAATTGCAAGCTTCTGACATTATTGAAGGAGTTTCTAGAGAAACCAAAGACAAAAAGCAGACAAAATACAAGGACAGTACTGGAAATTTGAACTTCTGATATCACAGCAATAGCGAATAGTAAACACAACCTACCTTTTAGCCAGATAAAGGTAAGACTTCACATTAAAGACCCATCTATATTATGTCTGGCTTTGAACAAAAAATTGTAAGGTATTGTAAGAGAATAAAAAATACAATGAGATGGAAGATACAAAGCAAGCATCAGAACCAGAGTTGGCTACAACAAAGGTTTTGGAATTATCAGATATTTTGGGATTAAAAAAATAAGTATGAATTATATGCCAAGGACTTTAATGGAAAAGATGGACAATATGCAAGAATAAATAGCTTACACAAGCAGAGAGATGGAAACTCTAAGAAAAAAAATGAAGAGGAAATACAAACCAAAAGCACTGCATATAAATAAAAAATGCCTTTAATGGGCTTATTGGCAGACTGAACATAGTCAAGGAAAAGAATCAGTAAGCTTGAAGATATGTCAATATATATTCCCAAACTGAAAAATGGGAAAGATAATTTTAAAAAACAACAGAATACCCAATTACACAAGTGTAAAATACACATGATGGGAATAGCAGAAAAAGAAAGAGGAACAAAAATGTTTGAAATAACAATAGCTGAATATTTTTCAAAATTAGTGACTGACACCAAAACACAAACCCAGGAAGCACAGAGGACACCAAGCAAGGTAAATACCAAAAATTCCAAACTTAAGCATACTGTTGTAGTTTATTCAAATTGCAGACAGCAAAGACAAAGAAAAGTCTTGAAATAAACTAGAGGGAAGAGAAACTTTACTTATAGGGTAATAAAAAGAATTACATTTGGATATCTCTTTAGAAAGCACACAAGCAAGAAGAAGTTGGATAGAAATATTTAGCCTTGAAAGCAGAAGCTACAAACTAGGCCTAGAATTATGCATCCAAGGAAGTTATTCATCAGGAATAAAGGAGAAATAAAAACTTTCTCAGAAAAAAACAAAAATTGATAGAATTTGTCACCAAAGAACCTGCCTTGCAAGAAATGTTAGAAACTATTTAAGAGACAAGTATAATGATAGAGATTCAGACTTACTGAAGAGAAGAGCATTTTAGAAAGGATAAATAAAGGTAAGGTAATATTTCTAACAGCACTGTTTTTAATTAACCTAATAGACTTGATTGAAATAATTATAGCAATAATGTATTCATTTATACAGTTGATGGATAAGTGAAATGGATGACCACGTTGCAGTAAAGAATGAGAGGGAAGAATTTGGAGTACTCTACTATAAGGTATCTACACTATCCATGAAGTGGTATAATATTTTTTGAGAGTGGACTTAAATTAGCTGTAAATGTATACTGCAAACTCCAGAGTAACCGCTGAAAAAAGTCTTCTAAAAAGCAGGAATGACATTACATAAAATACATTTAAATAAAATGCTCAAATAAAACCAGAAAGTACAGAAAAAAGGTAAAAGACAAAAATGAAGAACATAGTAAATAGGAAACAATTAAAAACATAGTAGATATGAATCCAAATATATCAATCATCATTTCGCATATGAATTATCTAAATATACTAATTAAAAGAGAGAGCCTGCCAGAGGGCGTAATAAAACAAGACCCAACCATGTACTGTCTACAAGAAACTCACTTTAAATAATCAGGTATATTAAAATTCAAATGATAAAGATATATCATATTAACACTAATCAAAAGAAAGCTGAAGTAGGTACAATGTTTTTGACAAAGTAGACTTCACAGAAGGGAACATTATCAGGAACAAAGAAGGCAATAGTACAAGAACTGAAAAGAGAAAGGCATGTCTCCTAATATAGTTGGATATTTCAACACAATCAGTAATT